CCCCAAAACCCCAAAACCCCAAAACCCCAAAACCCCTTATCAGTGTAAAATTATTGAAAATAATATGAGAAGATCGGTTATCATCGCCCCAATAAAGAATCCTATTAGCCAGAAAACTAAGAGTTTAATGAACAAGAGGCTTGGAAGGGTAAATTTTCATCAATACTTCAACAATCAGATATTTCTCTTATTTCATTCTAATTTCATCATCCTTAAGCTAATGTAGAAATCAAGTGTAGGGATTTCCAAAGATGCTAAAATAGTATCCCCTTTACAGGAAAAGCTAAAGCAGAAGAGGAAAAGCACATATTTCCCACCACAAGATAGTCTTCAGCAAATAGATTGTCCTAATAAGTTCAGGAAGATGATCCAAAATGCGATGAACCAAAATAGGTAAATCGATCCGTGAAATGAACAGAGATGACTTTATTAAAATAATGAGAAAGTTTGGATACCAAATTAACCAATTACAAGCGATCGAGGCATTCTTAGAATTTCAAGGTTCTCCTCATGAACCATCCAGGAAGGCTGATTTCAACCGGCTGCTAAAATGGCTAGAGCATAATATTCATAGAATTAGTACCGTGAAAAGTTCTCGATCAAAGGTGTCTTTAGAAACCGAAAATAAATCAAAATAAAACATCAATTCTCCAAAAATTGTCAAAGATTACAAACTATGCGTCTCCATCAGGACTGGAGAACATTCAAGAAATTCCTACTGAAAAGGGGAGCTCACGGATTCCTCAATTTAGAGTAGACAGTGGAATAAAGTTAAAATAACTTAGCAAAAGTAGAGCCTCTTCTTGAAAACGAAGATTATTTTCTCTCTAGTCCAGACAGTAAGTGCTTATATTCACACTTCTAGTCTCCACTTGTAAAACACATAAGGGAAAATCTGCTAAGAAGAATAGGAGTATCTGCTTTACTCCAGATGTAAAATTTAATGATCAGCCAAAGTTCAGCCTCAATCCAGGCTATTTTGGAGAAATACACTATGAACAAGATGGGCACCAAGACCCCAATTATCCTATTAAACTCCGAAGGAAGCAGAAGAAGTATGCACAGAAAGGGGTTGAGATGGCAAAGAAGAGAGTTCAGGAGTATAACCAGCCTGATGATCACAGCCAACAACTCATTTACAAAGGTATTTCTTCAGGTTTATTGGTAGGCGTAAAATCAAAAAGAAAGAGTACTTATGAGAAAAATGTACAAGCTTTAGTGAATGTCACTGCTGTGCAGTTCACTGGTATCTCTGCTGCAAGGCTACAGCATCTCTTGACCAGAAGGCCCAGGGAAGAGTATACCTTGAAGAGAAATTTTAAGTGGGATTTCCATTAAAGATGTAAACTATATGTCAGAGAGAAATTTGAGAAGACACAATTATTGTATCCATAGTGTCAATTATATTTATTATTAATGGGGTTTTGGGGTTTTGGGGTTTTGGGGTTTTGGGGTTTTGGG